TTTTGCTGCTCTTCTGCTTCCAAAAATGTCATTGAAAATAAACTGACAGGACAAACAGCTCTGAGTTTCCCACTAGCAAGGGCCATGTGAAATGATGTGTTCGGCTCTCGGCAGCGAAAGGCCCTCAATGTCAGGAAAGAATTGGATTACAAGGATTCCATACTCCAGTTTTATATCTGACTCAAAATGAGCCCTAACTCCTGCATCATGAGAAGGCCATTTGGCTCACTGGCCTCTTCTCTTCTTGCATGTAGTGCCAGGTTCTGGAGGTGTTGTTACAGACACGTGGTGATGATGAATCTGGGTAAAAGGAGCCCTTCTGTTTTCTTACCTTCAGCCTTAAGCATTGAAAAATCATATTCCTGCTTCACGCTGTTTACACAATGCACTGGAAGCTTTACCCTTGCATCCTGGGGTGGGAGGAGGAAGGAGAGGAGCAGGAATAACTAGAAAGGAAGGGAACGTGCCTGCTAAAGCCAGCCACTACACAGAGGCCAAACAGCATTTCTTTACTTGCCGTAGCTCCAGGGGATAAGGCAGCAGGCACATGTTTTTATAAGCTGAATTATACATTAATGAAAATCCCAGGAGATTCCTGTAAGAGTGGAGGCATTAGTGGCAGCTGGGACACTGGCCAAATTCCAGTGAAGGTAACTACACTGTTTCCCCATGGTCTCCCCTGCCACTTCAGTGAATCCTCTCTCAATTGTTTCGGCTCCAAGAGGCTCCGCAGCATCTCTGGGATGTACAGTTCTCTGGGATAACATTCTCACTTAAGGGATCTTGGTGGAATTTAAAAATAGGTCCTGTGAATGATGACAACATCCCTTCTGGCAAACAATTTTGCAACAACAGCTTTGAGGCAAACAAGCTGCAGAAAACTTGAGGAAAAGTTCCAAGAGGGAAGAACAAAAAGTTCAGTAGAGGAGTTTATTTCCTTAAATCTTGATTGGAGCTCAGGTGCTGCCATAGTAATGAGCCGACCCTCCCAAATGTCCCAAACCCAGGCCAACCCCTGATAACAACACAAGTAAAACACAACTATAAATCTATAAAACTTCTCTTAACATATATACATGATATTTGCCTTTTAATTGTGAGACTCAACCATCACATTGCTCATCTATCACAGGCTGGACTTGGAAAATATCTTTCCAACCCTCGCAGGCCGATGGGGCCTGGCCTGGTGCCATCTGCTCCCTGTGCATCCTGAGTTAAACACTGTCAATATGAGATTATGTTCCAATTACAGGACCAGACCGACTGGTTTAACTCCTACCATGAATCTGTTTTGCTTTATTACCATGCCCTGACTCTGTGACTGATGTACCAGACACCAAAAGAGATGGGCTCTGCCCAGAGGGCTTTGTCTCACAGGAACACGCCGGGAGAAGACCGAACGTGGCAGAAAATGCAGATGAATGAGTAACTCAGTCGAGATTTTCTTTTTCATTTGGGGATTCTTTGCTTGGTTTTGTGTTTGGCTTGAGTTTTAATATTGCTAAATTTGCTTCCTTCAGACGTTGCACAAGAACAGAGACTTCCAGAGAAACTCAAACAGGGTTAGGCATGTGGCTCTTTGAAGTGTGCATGTTGGGGGTGAACACTCCTGGAGCACGGAAAACCAAGGGAGAACCCTGCTCCAGCTACACAACAGCTTCAGCTGAGCCATGGCCCATCCTGGGGAAGTTGAGCCATGTTGAAAATACAAGCAGGTGTCAGTCCTTGCTCATCCTCCCTGCTCCTGCAGCAGAGATTGCCTGCATCTGTCTCCTCTGTGCTTCAGCTCTGCTTCTCCCTGCAATAGTTGTCAGGGATATTAGCATTAAATACTTACTGCCTGGCTTAACTAAGGGGTAAGATAGGATTTAATTTGTATGGCTGAAATCCAATTATATAATGGAGCCCCTGGGGGAAGCAGTTATACCTGCTGAATCTCTTGGATGAGTAATTGTGCACAAAGGCTCCTCTCCAGAAGTAGAAACAGATCTGAAATATTTTTTCTTTTCTCTTTTTTTTTTTTTTTTTTTTCTGCTGCTGTTACATAATAAGGCTGAGACCCTGAAAAGAAAAGCCAATGACAACCCAATGCAGTAGAAAGAATTAAAGCATTGCCAGGGGAAAACAAGTTATAATCTGATAAAATCAAGGATCTAACAGGAAGTCTGCAGCAGCATTAGCTTGGAGGAGCCAAAAGGCAGGGCAGCCAAAGGAAGCTTACTCATCTTTTTGGAAAATAGCACAGAGGCTTTGCTGTCTAACTTTCCCCCCTATTTCTACCATGACCAGGGAAAGGGAATCCTCTGGTTGCTTTTGTCAAAGCTTGGGAGGTGAGTAGGTATTAAAAAGGCTGAGCAGCCAGCTAATTCAGATACATGTGAAAAATCCAGCACTTAACCACCTTTGAAAATCCCTTCTGCTTATCCTGCATGTCATCTGCACCCTGATAAGCATCAGAATCATAGGTGATGATGAGCAGGACAGGAACAAAAGCATGATGAGGTTCCCAGCAAGGTTTATGAAAGCAGGCAAGCTTGTAAGGCATTAATCTGGGGTAGTGCTGGGGCTTGACAACTCTCCCATCTGATATCTGCAGCAGCTCCAAATCCCACAAAGGAATTACGGGGGACTGGGACTGAAGGCATCAGCCTGTTGTGCTTGTGCAAGGCTCCTCAGAGGTCAGAGCGCCAAAATCCATTCTATTTTTAAAAACAAAAAGCAAACTTTTATTCTTTTCTAACGAGCTCTGAGTGGAAAAAAACAACTTCCTCAGTGTCTTTTATTCCAGAATTACACGCAGATAAAATTGTGACTGCTTCCAGCCAGGGGAGGGAAGGCCAGAATTCCCAGTGCCACAGAGTGAGGACAGAGCCCTCAGCCTCTGTCTGGGCAGGGATTTCAGCTCCTGCAGAACGCAGCTAAATCCTGGTGAGGCTCCACGAGGAGGGACCCGTTCCCAGCCTCGCAGCTCCACCCAGTGGCTCTTTTTTGGCAGGATAAATCCATAATTTCAGAGGCATCAAAACTTGTTGAGGCCAACACTGATGCACTGTGGTGATGCTCTGGGATGTGCATGAGGAATTGAGGTTGTCACATTCTTAAATTTGTCAACTACTGTTTGGGTAATGGCAAAAAAACTGCAAAGAGACTTGTAATGAATATATAAAAATCAGAAATCTTATTATCCCCTTTCTTAACCCCTCCCAGCACAAATGGAAGGGGGAAAATAGTAGGGAACTGGTAATTTACACAGTTCACCTTTTCAAATTCTGTGTGAGCAGATTGCAACAGTTTGGGCCAAACGTATTGTTATATGAGCTTAGTAATGAATTACCAAAACAACTGATTTCTGATCTGTTAGCTCATTTTGAAAAAGAATTCTCTTGTGAGTGTGAATTTAACTTGGCAGCTCTCACTGTATTGCTCCACTTTCCTTCCTGGGTAATTACCAGGACTAACAGGAAGCAAATTTTCATCATTTCTATCCAGGATGCCATGCTGAAACTTGCTGTTTCCAGGAGTATCAGGGCACTTGTAATTAAAATAAGCTTCTATTTGTGCATATGCACACTTTACTCCAAGAACACTCAAGAGATGGGTACAGATTCACAGAACACAGAAGTGTGACATTAACATTTTCGATTTGAGCCAGTATTGTAAAAATATCCCATTCCTCCAAGCTCAAGTGAAAACTGACATCTCAGTTGTGCATAATGTAGATTTACCAGCCTCTCTGCAAGTCTTAAAAATAGAGAAGCTGATAAACTGATAGAAACCACAGTTTTGCTGTGAATCTCCTGGAAGTGCCCGCCCCATCTGTGTGAGGAAAATATCATCTGTGAAATGCTGCTCCCAGATGGGCTGTGAGCTCCAGTGCCATGGAAGGAGTTGAAATGACCTCTTCCTCTTGGAGTTCAAACGTTATTTAGCATAAATGCAGCCCCTAAGGCCTTCACTTGAAGTTGCTTTCTGCCAGCACAGCAGCTGAACATGGGCTTTAATCTGCTTTGTTTTGCCATTGGAGAGCTCTGTGGTAAGAGATTTGGAGTTACAAACTATGTGAATCCCACCTTTAAGCTTGTGGACAACACTTCTCCATCCATAGAATTAAAGGTAAATCAGCCTAGGACTTGTTAGGACAAAAGATCAGAAGTTTTTCTTTTAGAGGGGTAATATTTCAAAATAGATATTCAATATTCCATATGTAAAGAATAACAGGAAGCATCTTGCAAAAGGCAGTTTTGGAAAAGGGATTTTTTTTCTTTTTACTTTTTATTAAACCCTAAATCAGAACAAGGACCTGCTGGGTTTTACTTGTCCTCCCCAAAACTATCACTGAAGAGCCCTTCAATGCCTGAACCAGGTGCAGCCACCTCACCAAATGTCCAAGACCATGGCTCCCAGACTGTGGAACGAAACTGGTTCACTGATTTTACCACAAGGGTGTTTTTTGGGCACCATCTCCCAGCTGAGCTTGCTCTCTCTTGTTCCCACAAGTCACTGTGCAGTGGTGGCACCATGGCAATGAGGGAGGCCAGCGAGTCCTGTGGGTGTGCAGGGAAGGTTTCAAATGCCCATGGGACACAAAATAGCTGAGATTTTGGCATGGCAAGGGTATCACAGCTTGCAGCCTGTGAGTTTTTCTTCCTCTCTGCTTCTGTACCAGGATTTCTGTGTTTGCAAAGCTCCTGCCAAAGGTCCATGCAGATCGTGAAGCTCCCTTCCCTGCACCAAGGGAAATACAGGTTAGATATCAGGAAAATTTTTTCACAGAAAGAGTGATAAAGAACTGGAATGGCTGCATGGGGAGGTGGTGCAGTCCCCATCCCTGGGTGTGTTTAACAAAGCCTGGATGTGGCACTGGGTGCCAGGGTTTAGTTGAGGTGTTGGGGCTGGGTTGGACTCGATGATCTTGAAGGTCTCTTCCAACCCAGTGATTCTGTGAATTCAGATGGAACCTGCTGCTGTGATAAGCAACTTCCTTACCCCACAAGTGCTGTTCAGTTCTTCTTTTCATGCAGCTGGGGGGGTCCCAGGCTCCCTGCTGCTGCTTTCAGCCACTGTGCAGTCCTGAGCCTGCTCTCCTGCCACGTGAACAGGGGTTTGTACCCAAAATGCCTGGAGGCCTTGTCTGTCTCAAAGGAGAAGGTGGTGACTATGGTGTTCAGCAGGGGCACGCTGAGGAAAGGCTGTGGCCTCCGGAAAGGGGACAGGATGGCCCTGAGGATCCTGTGCACTTGTATCATCAACCACATCTTCCAGTAGGGGATGTGAGAGCCCAGCCTCACCGAGGGGTCTGCACTGGACAGCAGCTGGTGCCTGACCAGGAAACCCTTCCTGCTTGGGGTGTCATCGTAGCAGTAATACACCTGTCCTGCCAGCAGGTCTGCCTTCTGCTGCAGGTGCCTTGCTGCAAGGACGTGCATCCATGCCACGTTCCCTGGAGAAATAAGAGAGGGAGAAAAACAGGCATTCAGGAGGAGCTCAGTTTCCCTGTTGACCACAGAACGAGTGCACTGGATCTGCCAGCTTCAGTGCTGGGAAGCAGGGAGGCACTCGTGTGTGCTCAGCTGTGCTGCAGAGAGACTGAGTAGTTAATCCAGGCCTCCAACATCCTTCAAACCTTTGGTCTCCCCTTTGAGCTGGACAATTAATGTGCCTTGTGATCCTGGTTCACGTGAAGCAAAAGGGCAGTGTTTTGTAGTGAGAGCAGGATGAATAGGAGGCAGTGCTCCAGGGTTTTATCCCTGCCTCTGCTGTGAGGCTTTGAAGGAGTCACTTGATTTATTTGGGCCTGATTCTTCTCTAACAGCATTTTCAAAATCTGCACTTTTGGAAAAAGACATTTAAATGTGCTGCACAGAAATCACTGAATGCCTGCATGATCTAATGGTGAATTACACCCCCCTGAAAGGCACCAAAACAAACTCTTCCTGTAGGTTTTGTGAGTAATTTCTTGTGCTTGCTAAAACTGGTTATGTAGTGCAGCCTTGTCTGTAAAGAACTTGACAAGTAGTGGTAGTTTAATTTTTTTTTTTTTTTCCTAATGAAGAAATGTCTTTTCCTAGCAAAAACATTTTAAAAACACAGCCAGAATTTCTCTCTGCCCCTCATATATCCCTGAAACCCTTCTCAAAGGGAATCAAGAAAACCCTTCCCAGGAAAACAGCAGTAATAAGAAACTGCTTTTAAAATCCTTTAGCCAGTCTAAGTTTTGTGCTTCCAAACCCATTTGTGCTCATTCACCAGACTCATCTCTCTGTCTGGGGAGATTATGGCTGAGCTGACGTGTAAAATCCCCTGTGACTAAAGCTGGGAGCACCCATGCAAGGAGCTCAGCCCTTCACTCACCCACGTAGGTGTGATTGCGCTCGGTGTCCTCAGGCTCCAGGTAGTTCAGAACACCACTCCTGGCTCTGGCAAGCGAGTACAGATCCTGCAGGAACCCTGCCTTCTCCCCATACACCGTGTTGGCACGGAGGATGCAGGTTCTGAGTGTGCCACCATTGCTCAGCTATAAAATCAGGGAGGGATGTCAGTGGATGGATCCAGTTTAGATGGATCCAGAGATGGAATCTCCCACAGTGACACTGGGTTTCCCAGATAAACCCAAACCCTGGGAGTACTGGCCTAGAGGAGTCAACATTTGCAGAGCTGCTCTGCTTGCTTGGCACCTGCTTTGGGTCCCTAAAATCACAAGCAGGTGCCCAGTTTGATTTTATTTTTGTTTTCAGAGCAGACCTGCACCCACGTGGTGCTCCTTGAGAGGTGCTGGCTGGAAAGTGCTGGTGGCATGAATTCTTCTGCAGTTTGGTGTACAAAAGAGGATTTGCAACAACAAAAACCAGGTACCACAGCAAGCCAGCCCACCTGGCTGGCCTCCAGCTGGGACTTGAGGAGAGATGCTCCAGGCAGTGGTTTAGAGCACAAGTCTCATTTTTACATTCTCCTTCTTTGTCTAGAAGAACTCATATGTCTGCTGACTGCACTGCCAGCCTAAAACACTGAACAGCTACCTTGGGTGGGGGGCTGGCTCTGGGTACACCAATATTTTGAATTCTTAAGTCACTCTGAAAAGCCTGGAAATTACACTTATTTTCAGTATGAACTAGGTGAACCCGGTTCCTTCAGCCCTAATTTAGCACAGCCCTTTCCAAAGTCACACTCCTGCTGGAGCTGAAGGGAAGCACCCTGTGATCCTGGGAGAGTCTGGCAGCTTCCTGCTGATGTGGGAATATCAGGCTTTGGGAGGCTTAGGACAATGTGGTTTATGCATCAAATCCAGGCAGAGGTTGCATACACACTTAGCCAGGAGCTGTGGGGTCTTTCCAACCACCTCCCTCTTTCCCCTGCCCTGGGCTGCAATTCCAGGGGTGCTACCACTGGATTTTGTACCTTTTTTCCGTTGGCTTCAAGCACAATTTTTTCTGCCATGGCTTTTGTCTTCCCGTAGGGCAGCTCCACTTCCCCACTGTACTGAGTGTCCTCGTTTCCTCTGGAACAGATTGTGGGAGACAGGGGGTGACCATGGGGCAGAGCCCAGGGCTCGGGGACATCTGTGCCAGCCTGCTTTGCTCTGCATTCCCTGCTCCCAGGGGTTTCTGCTATGGGAAGCTCAGCTCCTCGATGCACTTTGGGAGGAATAAAGCCCCAGGGAACAGCAGGTGCTTTGGGGTGTTCACAGGCAGGTTTGCATGGGGGCAGTGGTTTCTCAGAGCTGGATTCAGTTTTGTCTAATAGCATGATTGAAATAACATTCCATCAGGCAAATTAGAAGGCAGCAGAGTGACATTTTTAAGCAACTCACAGCAAGGTAAAAAAGAGCACAAGAAGATGGAGGGCAGGAAAATGAGAGCAATTCTAACTTCATTTCTTCATTAGGGGCAGAGAAAAGCCTCTCATGAGCCATAAACCAAAAGGAGAAACTGCTACTTAATTTTCTCACAGAGTTGATTAAAGTTGGGAGGCATTTGCTGGGGATGTGGTGGGGCTGCTGGAGATCTCCTGGAAGCCTTGCAGACAGCAGGGTTGGGCTGGGATTGCTCCTTCATCTCCCCTCACAAATTACCCTTGAGGGGAGGGAGAAGTAGAGCCCAAGGACAAGCAGATAACACTGGGCTGTGACTGTGGAAGACAACCTGCTCCTCAGGCTGCCACCTTAGAGCTGCCAAGGGGAAAGCCTCATATGGGATCTCACATGGAACTGGCCTCACAGGGCCTGGAATAATACCAAGGAGAAAGCAGAAAGCAGCTCTATTCCCCAGAGGGTGTCAGCATCTCATCCCAGTGCTTTTAGATCAGCCTGAGGCCATCATGGGATTTGATTAAACATCTCCAGTGGGCTCTGGAGTGAAGAAACCTGGCTTGCAGCATTGGGAAGGAGCATCCACTTGCTCCCCTGAGTAGCAGAGATGAGCTCTCCCTCCCTCCATGTGCTGCTGGAGACTCTTCCCATTTTTAAATTCATTTACTATATTTTGCTGTTAAAGAGAAATCCACCTGGCAAACCAGGACCTGCCAGGCACAGGGTACCCCACGCAGGGCAAAGAGGAATCCTCACCCTCCTGTGGCAGATGGGCTTGCATACATCTCCTGGCAGGGCTCAGTGGCCAGCAAATCTGCAGCAGAGGTGTTTTTGTCAAACACTGGGCCTTGGGAGAGTCAGCTCTGACTCAGGCTCCCTCTTTGACCTTGGCAAGTTGTTTTCTCTTTCCTGTGCTCAGATCTCCCTGTGTGAAACGTGGCTGATGCTGCTGCCTGGCCCTTGCCTGTTCAGCAGTCTGGCATGTTGTGTGTCAGATATCCCAGCTGAGATCAGGCACTCCTTGCACTACAGCAACAGAAATAAATTAGGAGCATCAGAAACGCAGACTCCTCACACACCCTGGGCTTCTATCACAAAACCCTCCTCCCCTCCCCGTGTTTACAGGGCATGAACAAGAGACAAACCAAAAAGCAAGCAAGACAAAAGATTGATTGTGCAAGGTTTGTTGCAAGCCCAGGAGAGACCCAAGACAATTAGTGGGGGGTTATCTAGAAGTTCTAGTTTTAATTGCTTTCTTCTTTTTTTTAATCAATTTTTTTTTTTTTTGGGTTTTGGTTGTTGGTTTTTTTTTTTTTTTTTTTTTTTTTTTTTTTTTTTGCCCTGCAAAGCTTTTGAAAAGCAGCAGCCTCACAAAGGGACAAACCTGCCTGCTGTTCCTGGGCTCTGCTGTGTGTGCCTTCCCCCACCCCTCTGAAGCTTGGTAGTAACAAAGAGCTCAGCATAATGCTCTTGCTTTTCAAAACGATCCCAGATAAGTGAACGCTAATCAGACTGGAGCAGCATTGTCAGAAGGTATCTCAGCAGTGCCTGTCTCCCAGGGATTGAGACTGACAGAGGCATTTTCTATTATTGTCGGATGCTGAGGTGTGAGCATTATCCCTGTGCCCATCACCCCGGCCAGAGGCTCCTCCTGCTTTGTCTGTGCCAATTCCCTGCACGTAAAAGGGAGGTAAATAAATTCTACAGTGCAGTGATGGAGAAGGGGCACAGAGGAAAAGGAAAAGGAAAAGGAAAAGGAAAAGGAAAAGGAAAAGGAAAAGGAAAAGGCAGGATTCTTGACTGTGAGGGAGAGGGCAGAACAGATGGGGTGGGGAAGGGGAGATGGGCAGAGGAGGAAGGAGAAAGGCATCACCTGTGCCTTCAGTCTGGAAAGCAGAGCCATGTTACGCTGCTCCCAGTCATCCCTGGGCTCCCTCCTGAGACAGGTGGGGTAAGTTTTCACTGGGAGGCTGATACTTCTCATTATCCAATTCCCTTCATTTAAAATCAAAATAATTGGAGAATGAAGACCCCTCTCTAGGGCTTCCTCTCAGGATAATGGGAGGAGTGTGTTCTGCAAAATGAGCGAAAGGCTCCAGGTGTGGCTTTGTTTGTGCTTGTGGTGGGGAAGGCTGTTCATAGCTCCATGGCCATCAGCCTGGGTGGGTTTTCTTGCCCCTGTTGGTGCCACCATTACAACCCAAAGGACTCTGATCAGGCAAGATCTGGGACTGCTTTTTTCAAGACATCTGTTCACATCTCTCTCCTAAGTCACAGGACTAAAATCCTGACAAGGATGTGCCTGTATCTACATGAATTCTTAGGAATTATTTGTATTTACTAGGGGCCAAATTCCATAGCTTAGCAGTGACACAGTCTCCAGTGCTTGTGGTCCCAAGTGGATTGAGTTGCTTTTCATGGATTTTTTCATAAGCCAGACATTTATTCTACAGATTTGAGTGCTTAGACACTTTTCAAAACAAGGGGCTTATGCCTTAAGTTACTTGTGAGCATGAAATTTAGGCTTGTAGGCAATTTTAAGTTATGTCTTTTCTAGCTGGGCTCAAATTTCTAGAGCCAAGTGACTGAAGGCAGCTGTGTCCAGCCTGTGGAGACACCACTTGACTTGGAGCCAGCTCCCCTGGCACACAAATTTCCAGGGGCTGAGCAGTTTGTGTGGCTACAACCAAGCTTGAAATCAGCAAGGAGCCTTCCAATAGTACACATCAGACTGACCTCAAATTTAACCTAAAACTTCAGCCCCTGAATTTTTGAAGATATTTCTTCAGAAATATCAGCCCTGCTCTCAAGGTGCAGGTGCTGTTGCCCCAAGAATACAAAAGTATTCCCAAATCCTGATGCTGAGCCCTGAGCAGGGGTGTCAGCTGATTGTCAAAGTCACTTCTGCAGATCAAAGCAAGAAAACCCTCAAAACTGTTATTTTGACCACTGTCTTTGTATTTATCCAAATCCCACCTTTGCCACAGAGGGTTTTCTAAAACTCTGCTGCTGCTTCTGGGTCTTGTGGGTCAATCTCACGGGAGCCACAAACAGAGGAGAAGGGTTGAGCATAAAAGCCCCAAAGTGGTGAGATCCAGGAGCCCAGGAGATAGTCCCCACGACCATGTTCCAGGAAGAAGGATTTTGAGGGATAGCAGGGTACAATTTGCAGATCAGAAGCAGGTAACAGAAGGATGTGACTACACCTGAATCCTGCAGGGCAGGTTCACACCAGTGAATTTGTCCCCTAAGACTTCTTGGGCAATTACTTTTTTCTGGGATTTGCCCACATTTGATAACAGAAGATGGGCACAGGCTTGCCAGCAGTTCTCTTTGGAGCTGGGAGCAGAAGGGGCAGTGTGGTGGTAGCAGTGGGGCACCACCTGCCCTTTGGGTTGACTCATTGTGAGGGAGAGCAAAACCTCTGACCCAACAGCAGGATGTAATCTGGCCATATCCCAAACTCTGAGCACGTGAAACCTTATCTGAAAATCATTTTGGGTCTCAGAGGGGCAGCCTGGCAGTGCAGCTGGGCACACAGCTCTCACCTGGGGGTACCACTGGCCAGGCTTAGGCTGGGAACAGCCACGGTTCCTAAATGGGCAGAGCAGCAAGGAAAGGTTTTCAAGAAAGAGAAGAGGAACAAACAGGAAGGGGAACACGAATCTTCTCCTTGGTAGGCACAGCTCAAATCTCCATCTGGCTGCAGTTGCATTGCTGTTTGACTGGACAAACAGAGCAATGGAGGAGATTTGCTGAGCCTCACCTGAGCAGGGGCTCACAGGAGGTGTTGGGTCCCACGGCAGCGATGGAGCTGGTGTAGAGCAGGTATGGGATGCTCAGGTCACAGCAGGCCCTTACCACGTTTTCAGTTCCTGTGGGGCAGGATGGGAAGGACAAGCATCAACCACCTTGCCTTGATTCCTGTTGTGCAAATCAAAATAGATTCCCAAGGGCTTTCCAACTTGGAACTAACCCATCTTTTTTTTTATGGCTGAAAAGATGTAGAGCCCCAGGTCAGGGCTGCATTTCCTCAGGAGGGGATGGTTTATAACATGAGAAGCAGTCACATCCATAGCTCTGATGTGGCTGATCCTCCATGGCCATTGGCAACTGACTTAACTTGGACTTTAGAGCTGCTAACAAAGGGAAGCTGAGGGCTTGGCAGAGCAAAACACAGTCCTTTTTCATTTGGGGGCAGGTTGTTGGTGAACTGCAGCCTTCTGACAAAGGATCAGTGTTTTAGTTGCATGTGTTGCTCTGTAGAAGATCTGCAGGGTGCTACAGGGTGAAATCACTCCATCAGACTCTGACAGCTGCAGAACTTTAAGTAAAACAATGAGGGCAGCTTACAAATCCATGTGAAATCCAGACAAATCCAAAACATGGTTTGCTTTGAGGAAGGTTGTTCTGGCTGAATTAGTTGGCCAGTGTGTGTGGTTTAGTGTGGTTATTTTGGAGTATTTTGGTGGGTTTGAATGATTTGTGACTCTTGAAGGGGTGATTTTTGCATTCATTGTGATTTTGATCCAAGTTGATCCTGTGAGAACCTGAATGACAAGGACTGAGAGCCTTCAGACCTGGTAAGGCAGATCTGAAAGGAAGCTTGCAGGGTTGGCTTCCAGAAACCTCCACACTATTTGTGCCTGGCTAAGCAGATCTTGTGTGGGAGGGCTTGTGATTTCTCTTCTCTTTGCTATTAAGGGCATAATCTGAAATTACCAAGGAAATCCTGAGTTTAGGATAATTTCCAAGCACATGAATCCATCTGAAATCTTTTCCCAGTGGAAAAGAATCAGTGTGCTTCTTCATGAGCCTATCACAATATGTAAAGTTAACTGAGAACCCCTGGTGAGAAACATCACTGGAAACAGCGGAGTTAAAATCCATTCAGCTTAACAAAAAGCAGATTAAAAAGTCTTTAAGTGACTAGATGGAAAAAATAATTCTTGTAGAAGAGAACCCTTTAATTCAGTCAACAAGGCTATAACAGGATTCAGCAGCCAGTGGTTGAAACAGAGGAGGGAATCAAAGCAGAAGATGTAAATTTTGGCCAGAAATGATAATTAACCATAGCCACACCACCACTCCTCAGCATTGTTCTGGCTTGCTGAAAGCCATGATAGATAGCCCATTAACTTGCACCCTTAATTCGAGGCAACAAGCCTGTTGAAAAGGAATGGTCCAATTTAGCCACAAATTGTTGGGCTTAGAGCAGTAATTGGATGGATTTCTGTGGCCTGAGTTGCACAGAGGAGCCAGCTAGAGGATTATATACTTGACCTCTCCTGACCCTACTTTTTTCCACAAAGTCTACAGCAGGTATCAAATACCATTTTTATTCTTTTATCTGCCATGATTTTAATAGAGAATTTCAGGCTAATCTCTGAGTTCAGGATTTTGAGGAGCCCTAGTGAGGGCAGCAGCCCCATTTTGGGGAGTTCCATGTGGAGCCATGCAAGGGGAGGCAGAAATGCAGGACAGGCTCCTGTTAAACCATCCCAGGCCGTGCTCCTCAAAGAGTCACACTGGAAAATCCTTGCTTGTGTGGTTTTCTGGGAATGTCACCAACATCTGCAAGAGGTTTGGTTTGCTGAGGAGGGGACTTGCCTGGTGTTCAGTGCTCTCTGCAAATGCTCCCTGAGCTGAAGCACTGAGCTCACAGCAACAGTGAGGGGGAAGAGCTCACAAAGCCACTAAAAAGCAGCAGGGACCCTCAGGCTCTGAATCTTCTCAGAACACAGAGAGCACAATACAGGCTCTTAAAAGCACTGAGTTTTGAAAACAAGTACAGCAAAGAAAAGAAGGCTGGAATTTAAATGTTACCCTTGAACGTATCAGCAAATAGTCAAAGCCCTAAGCAGTAATAGAGTTGGAGATGTATATATAGTAAAAAAAAATAAAATTCCTTCCTTTTGGTTAACGACTATTTTAGTAGCTAACAGCCTGAGGTACCACTGGAATTGCTCCTGTAATAGGGATTTCATTATTTTTATAGCCTGTGCTTATTTCCTAGATTTATGAACAAATTTTCTCTAAGCAGATCTTGCACCCAACATGAAATTGGCTCTTGGTGGTAGGAGGACAGGATTGTGGAGCTCTCAGTTACACGTGGCCTGTTGATACATGATAGCTGGGAACTCTGACTAATTAAACAGCATCACTCTGCTAATTAAAACAGCATCACTCCCTTCTGGTGGGTGCAGTTCAACGGGTACAGCCTTGTGCTGGTATAGACAGGGCAAAATCCCTGGGAAAGCTACGAGCTGCCCAGAACAGAGTTTAATTTTAATTGTTGCCCTTGTCACACACAAACATTTTCAGACCACTGTAGGTGTGTCCTGACCCACCTCAGTGCCACCAGGGGAAGTTCTGCCCCGGCCCAGGAGAGCTGTGCCGAAACTGAGCCCAGATTTGATGAGCAGTGGAGAGGAGCAGCCCTGGGCAAGGACAGAGGGGCAAAGGGAGAAACCTCCCTGCTGGAAAGGTTCTGGGCACCTTTCCCATCCTTTGCCCTGAGCAAGGATAGAGGGACAAAACCTCCCTGCTGAAAGGTTCTGGGCACCTTTCCCACCCTTTGCACTGAGCAGGGACAGAGGGGCAAAGGGAGAAACCTCCCTGCTGGAAGGATCCTGGGCACCTTTCCCATCCTTTGCCCTGAGCAAGGATAGAGGGACAAAACCTCCCTGCTGGAAAGGTTCTGGGCACCTTCCCATCCTTTGCCTTGCAAGGACAGAGGGGCAAAGGGAAAAACTTCCCCACTGGAAAGGTTCTGGGCACCTCTCCCATCCTTTGCCTTGCAAGGACAGAGGGGCAAGGGGAGAAACCTCCCTGCTGGAAGGGTCCTGGGCACCTCTCCCACCGCGGGCGTGTGGGATCCACGCGGAGGGACACGAAACGCGGCCGGATGTGGCTGCAGGGGTGAGAGGGCCGGGCCGTGCCCAGGGCCCAGCTTGGGCTCACCCCCGACGTTGACAGCGCTCATGTCCCCGAAGGGCACGGTGTCCCTGTAGTCCACCAGGGCAGCCGTGTGCAGGACCACGTGCACCCCGCTCATGGCAGCCAGCAGCGCGCCGGGGTCGCGGATGTCTCCCCTCGTCACCGTCACGCGAGTGGGGCCTGCAGGAGCACAGCACAGAGGTGCAGGGGGGGAAAAGAGTACAAATCGGCATTTGCTTACCGCAGAGTACAAAAAAAAAATCTATTAAAAAAATTCGAATTAAATTTTGATTAAATAAAATTTAATAAAATTAAAATTGTTTTTATAAATAATAAAAATAGAAAATAAAACTACAAAAATAATAAAGCAAACAATTTGAAAATTAAATAAATTAATTCTCAATTATAAATAAAAAATTATAAATAAAAATTGTAAATAAAAAATTATAAATCAAATCAGCATTAGTACTTTCTGCAAAGTACAAAAAAATCTATAAATGAAAAACAAATAATTAAATTTTAAAAACATAAATTTTAATCATAAATTAATTATTAATTAATAAATAACGGCTAATTTATTAATTAATAATTACATTAATATTTTAAAATTAAATAAATTTATTTTACTTTCAAAATAAATAATTTATAAATCAAATACAAATTTATAAATCAAAAAATTATAAATCAAATCAGCATTTGTACTTTCTGCAAAGTACAAAAAATTTATAAATAAAAATTAATTTGTTAATTTTAATTAAATTTAATTAAATAAATAAAAAATAATAATTAATCACTAACAAGTATTTATTTATTAATTTAATAAATAATTTTATTAAAGTAATCAATTCATTTTAATTTATAATTTAAAACATATAAATCAAAAATGATAAATAATTATACATCAAATCAGCACTTGTACTTTCTGCAAAGTACAAAAAAATTATACCTTCCTGCAAAGCACGGAATGTCCTCTCTGCAGGGCAAGGCAAAGCACTCTGATAGTGACTGTGCCATTTAAATCCAGCACTATTTTTTTTTTTTTTTTTTAACTCCAAGGAGCCAGGTTTGCATCTGGTTTTAGTTTAGCACGGTGCTGTGCATCAGCCGTGGGCAGCGTCGCTGTGCGTGTCACTGCAGCAGGACACAGCTGGCCCAGGGCTGGAGCTGCTCCTGCCCCTCTGCAGCGGGGAAGCTGTGCTGGACTCTTCCCTTCAGACACAAAATTTTAGGGTTTGTGGGAGCAACACCTGGTGATTTCAAGAGGCATCACACAGATGTTGTTTAAGTTGCAAATACTGGAGATTAAGAAGGAAAATAATGCAACAGGGTTAAGAAGTTTCATAGGAAATTCCTCCCTTAGAGCCACTCAGAATTTTCCCCCTATTCCCTTTTACCTCCTCCTTCTTCCTCAGAGTAGCTGCTCCTTACATGGCTACTCTTGGCATCTACTATTCATTTTCTAGCTTTGGGACAGTGTTGTAACATTTAAGTAGGATTTTCCCCTTTTTGGGACTGGAACAGGGAGAAGCTGGGATGGGCAGCCTGTGCTCCTCAGGGATTTGCAAGAAGCCACTCATGGGGGTGCTTTGGGAAGGAGATGTCTCCTTGCCCTGGGCAGAGAGCCCACACATCCTGGGCTGGGAATTCCAGCCATTTCCAGGGTCGGAATTCCTGGAGGATCCCACAAATCAGGGAAGGGTCTGTGGCTCCGGCTGTGGGGCTGTTATGGTTGGAAACCCTCAGAGAGGATCCAGCAGGGCGAGGTGGGCAGAGGATTGTTCCCCATGGCCCAAAAGGAGGGATGCAATCCAAGGCAGCAGGTCAAGAGGCTGAGTGTCCTCTGAGCAGCCCAGGACGGAGGAGGAGACAGGAATTTTACCAAAGAGTCCAGCTGCTTTCTTCATTAGCATAGCCAACAATCAGTGGACTCACTCTGGGGAGTTTAAATATTAAATTAATTAACATTGAGGGTGAATATTAATTTAGTAGTAAAGCACAGAGTCGATGCAGTGAGAACAGAGGTGAAAGGAAAGGAGCTGTCCATGAAGCAGAGCTAAAACCCTTGCCTGGAGGAGCAGAGTGCAGAGGAGGATGCTGAGAGGCAGAGCAGGGTGTCAGCAGGCTCTTGGGGGGAATTTTTTGCTCCTCTGTTGTTTGGGAAAGCCTAGAAGCCACCAGGCTGAAGTGTTAAATATCCTTTTCCACACCAGCTGTGTTAAGGCAGCTGGTGTAAAGCAGCCATGAGGAATTTCCAAATTGACAAGGCCTGATGAGCTCTTCCCAGGGCTCCTAAAGTGGTGAGGGTTGTAACTGCAGCTTCAGTGTGTTATCAGCTGCTTTGGAGAGCTTCTGAAGGCACTGGGAGCGTTCAGCAGAGCAAATGAAACACTTGTGCTTAGAAGGGAGGTAAAGAAGAGGCAGGAAATTACAGAACATTTTGGTTTCAACCCCAGGAGATTCAGGAGCACGCACCCAACCACGTGTGTGTGAGCACCTGTGGGATAATGGGCAGAATGGAGGCAGCTGACATGGATTTGTCGAGAACAAATCAAGCCAGATAAACCTCCTTTGTTCTTATGACAAGGTAACAGGCTGCAGGGATATTGTGGAACAGGTTGATGTCATCTATCTTGATTTTTGAAGGGCTTTGGAAACTCGGCGTCATTCTCACAAGGAGTCAGTAAAACATGGGCTAAATAAGCCCCATTAAGGAGAGCACAAAGCTGGTGGAATTACAGTTCCCAGGGAATTGCCAGCTGTGGTAGGTGGCTGCCCTGGGGCTCTCCAGGGCTTATTGCTGTATTTGAGTCTTTTTGATTGTTTTCATCAAGAATCTAGCAGATTTGTTCATTAAATCAGCAGATAACATCAGACTGGGAGGGACCATGCTGGAGGATTTGAGTAGGAGCTGAATGGAATTAACAGAGTCTGGAGGGGGGAAAAAAAAAAAAAAAAAGTGAAATTTGATAGGAACAAAGAGAAGTTTTTGGGTTTAGCAGGGAAGAGGCAGCTGATCTTTATGAAGGAATTGAATTGGGCCAGAGCAGCTCAGGAGCTGTTTCTTGTTGTCAGCTGGAAAAGGCACAATTGTAGTGACAGGTAAAACAGGAGGATAAATTACAGGATGGAAGAGACAAACCCATCAGCTTTTTGCAGCAATGGGAAGGCCACAGCCCAAAATTCAATGCCCCCTTGCAGACAGGAACAATGGCAGTGCCCTGCAGTGCTGGATGGAGCAGAGGAGGAGGAAGGAGTGTGTGAGAGCTGCTTTAGCCTAAAGCAGAAACCAGTGTGGAGTGGAAGGATGTGGTTTGCAGATGGTGAAGATTGTTGTTAAAAAAAACCAAAAAAAAGACAGCAATCCTGTAATACCTCCTCTACCTGTTACGTTTAGGTGGGAAATCAAGGGCCCAGACTGTACCCACTGCCTGGTGGGGCAGAGATAAATGGGCTGCTGGGGTGGCCTGGGGACAGAACAAACATCTGTGGTGGAGCTGAGTGCCTGGGGCACAGGGATGGGGTTGGGATGGCCCCTCAGGCTGCTCCTGCCTCATTGCCTGTGGTTTGCTGGGGTGTCAGGCCACAGACCCCTCCTGGAGCATGGATTTTGGCACCTCCCTAAGGTTTAAGCAGCTTTTTCTTCAATTATGGGTGCTTTTAAGGTAATTGGCTCCCTGAAAGCTGGGGAAACCAGTCTGCTGAGTTCATCTGCCAGGGAGGTTTCTGATAGTGATATTTCCCTGGGAGTCTTGACTTGCTGTGGGTGCATCCCCTTTCTGTCCATATCTCCCCACAGGATCTCCCTCAGCATTTTTTCCTCTCTCAAAGCAGACTGAAGGTTTGGGCAGTCACAGACAGGGAACCCAGCCCAGCATTGGCTGAGCAGAGCACCCTGAGCTGCCTTGGCTTGTTTTGCACGGGTATTCCTGAATCCAGTAAAACAGGATGTTTTTCCCCAACAAATCTCACTGTGCTCAACCCTGCGTGAGGGCAGCACTCGGGATATGATCAAATGAATGATTTCAGTATCTGTTTACTGACACTCAGCCCCTCCTTTTTCAAGGCTGCTACAGGTTTCTCTCAATGATTTCCATCGTTCATTTCACAATGCCTGCAGTAGGTGCTGAGACTGATTCTGTTGCTGTCAGGATTTTTAGTTATTTCCCTCAGAAGCAGGAGGGTTGCTGCAGCTCGGGAGGGTGTTGGTTTAACCCCTTTGTGTCAGACTGGCTGGGCAGCCAAGCTCCCATGTCACAGCCCCTGTGTGCACATGGCTCCTCACAACTGAGCCCTGCCTGGGCACTCAGAGCCTCACTGGGACACTTCTCTCAGGTGACCCATCCCTAGGGGTCTTTTTTCTTTGATTTAGTGCTGTGCTGTAAAACTTCTGAGCTGGAAGTTGTTCCTCCCCCAGTCTGTTTATCCAGGTTCCTGCCCCATGCCTGTAACTGTGGCATCTCCAGTGTTATCCCAGCTGCCAGGAAGGGGAGGGTTATGGGCACTAAATAGATGCTGCTGGACTTTTCTTACCTGTGCTGAGTTTTTCTACTTCTTCTCTTGCTACTGAATCAAAAACTCTGACTTCTTTGATGTAGTCTTGTTGAGACAGGAGCTCCACGATCCTCTCCCCCACAAACCCACATCCTCCTGTCACCAGGTAGACCCAGGCTCCATCCATTGCTGCAGATGTTTTTGTGGGTGAGGAGCAGAGAGAAGGAGGCTGCCAGGATCTTATCATGCACTCAGCCAGTGTTTTCTGAGCTAAGTCTAAAGTTTAGCTGTCATGAGTGCTGCTGGGTGAACATTAACTGCAGCTGGTTACACATAAATCAGCTTTTCCTTGGCATGGTCCTACAGTGCTGCCCCTGCTGGGCTCTCTGACCCAGCCTTTCCCTGCTCCCATGGTAGCCCATGGCCAGTGGGGCACCTCTGGCTTGCCTTGGTGTGTGTCCAGTCTCAAGCCAAAATCTGGATGCTGGTTTTGCTCCCTGCACAGTCCCTTCCCACAGGCAGGTTTATCAGCTCAGGGCTGGAGCGGGATGCTGCAAGGAGCCTGTTCCCATGCCCTGCTGGTTTGGAGAGAGGCTTTAGAGCAGCAAGTCCTTCCAGAGCTGAGCTGTGCCAGGAAGGGGCAGCTGGGCTTTGTGGTCACCAGATCCAGCAGTCTGAGCATCTGGCAAGGCTCTCCTGGATGGATCTGCCTTGAGCTGAATACTTCACACACACCCCTCTCTCTGATATATATTGATATATATATATATGTGTGTGTGTGTATAATATTTAGGAGAAGGACCTCTCAAAATTTGAAAAATCTATTGATTGCAAACTCTACCACATCCTTTGGCAAAGTGTTCCAGCAATTAATTCTCATCACTGATACAAGTTCCATCTTGGCTGACACACCTTTCCCTGCTATGCTCTGCAGAGTGTGTGCTGTTTAGTTTCCCACTGGAGTCCAAAAATGGCATCAGCTTTGTCCAAGGGTGCTTGGTCCTGTCCTAAAAGTGGGATGTGGTAGGGACAAGACCTGTCCTGTTTCTCCCTGCCTCTCCCAGAAAGGCTCAGAGATAACAAAGTCAGGCCTGATCATCTCCCAGGCTCTCCTTGGTGCCAAGCAAATGCCATTCTGCAGTCTGGAATAGTCACATTTTTTCCAATCCATCTTTGAAGCAGCTTGTCCCTGTTGGTGAACTGTTCTTAGAGGGTAAATAATCTCCCTGCTTATTTTTCCTTTACACAGTGTAGTAGTTGTTTTTCTGTAGTGCTTGGGAAGTTTAGGGTGGGTTTGTTCCTGTTTCAGGTTCCCTGCTTTCCTCATCCCCAGGCTGGAACGTGGAGACAATTCCAACTGCATTCATGGCCAGAGCCACTCTTACCCCAGTGCCAGTGCCTGGCTCAAGAGCCACTTGCTGCTGAGCATGAGGTTAATGAAGAGTTAAGGCAGTGAACTCAAAGAGTAGCTGTGTTTTGTTCATGAATAAATAGTTTTCTTTTAATCAGCTCCTGCTACAAGTTCAATGTGTTCCCCTCTGCCATTGATTTTCCTGGGCTGTGTTAAGCTCAGGAGAAGTCAGTTCCCCTCGCTGTGATTACAATCAGTGGCCATAATGGCCCAGAGACCAACATGGGCCTGATGCTAATTTGGTGCCTGGCAGACCAGCACAGCCACAAATGTCCCAAGAAATTAATTTAGCCTTTTATCCAGCAACTCCCAATCTGTACAGTGGTGATTAACACAGCTGCCTTCCCTCAGAGGACTTTTTGCAAGGATAAATACATCGGAGTTGGAGGTGTTAGGACTCAAAAACTGAGATAAATACACCCTGAGAGACCAGAGAAGTGCTGCATGGGAATGTCTGGCATGAAGTAACCTTGAGCATGTCCTCATCAGTGATGCACAAAGCCCTGTGAAGCAGAGACCTCGACTCTGTGGACATTTTTGTGTTTACAAGGCTCAGCCTTCGCTGCACTTTTGGTATCTGCATCTCTGCAGTGTAGTCTGATCAGGAGGGGGAAAAACTGGCTGGGATTTGCATATCTCTTCTTTTCATTGGGATATGAAAAACAAGTTCAGAGCCCAGAGCTGTGACATCTGTGACAGAAACAGCCCAGGCCCTCCCCTGCAGCCTCCCTTTGCCAACACAGAGGTGCTGCATCTCCAGGGGCAGCTGCTCCCAGAGTGGGAAGGTTAAAAGAAGGGCTTTACCCACATCCTCTTCTGGCACTTTGAACTGCCACGAGAGATGACTCTGGGGGTCTCCACAAGCCCAGAGGCACACTCAGAGAGCACCCAAAGGCTGCTGGAGGGGGCAGATGCCCAGGGGGTACCAGGGGATGTCAGGGAGGGGGTCTGGGCAGCCCTTGCTGTCTTGGCTGAGCCAACTCGACTTCCTTGTACTGGAAGGAAACTTTGGGGAAGTGAGGAACACTGCAAATATCAGCAGATTTTAATTTACACTGCTGGGCAGAGCACAATTCTCTGTCTGGCTTGTTCCCCCTCACAATCTGCTGCAGCCACCCATCCTCTGAGTGCCCTCACTGAGCCCAGGCAGAGCTGGGATCCCTGGGTCTGCCCTGGCACAGAATTCCTGCAGGAACTGGAGGAGGAATCTGCCAGGTCTGGGCAGAGCCTCACTCTGCAATGCACAGCAAGGTGCTCAAAGGTGACCTGAGAGGCTGCCTGAGGAGCTAAAACACCTCCCCATGAGGGCAGGGTGTGTCCCTGAGTTTGGGATGTGTCCTGGAGTTTGGGATGTGTCCCTGTGTTTGGGATGTGTCCCCATGGTTGGGATGTGTCCTGGAGTTTGGGATGTGTCCCTGTGTTTGGGATGTGTCCCCATGGTTGGGATGTGTCCCCATGGTTGGGATGTGTCCCCGTGTTTGGCTCTGGTGGCTGGGAATGCTGTGGGGTGTCTCTGTGTGTCCTGCAGACAGATCTCTCTGTCCAACACCTGCAGAGGAGTCAGTGCCACCGAGGGCAGGGAGACTCAGCTCTGGTTTTATGCAAGAAGGACCCATTTTGCTCTTTTTGCCCCTCCAGCCCACAGCTGGAAGGCCTCCATGCCCATCTTGTTTTTAAGCGCCCTGTAAAGGAACTTTCCCAGAGAGAAGGCTCAGGAAGGAAAAGCCCTGATTCCAGGCTGCAGTTTCCTTGAACTTGCTCTGAACCTCATAAATAGAGGACACCTGACATGATATTCATTTACAGTAAGTTTATTTCTCAGTGCATTACATGAAAGGTCTTTGGTATTTGTGGGTCCTTGAATACTGTTCCCACTCTGCTCCGTAAGAAAATGCTGAATACAAAACATTCCATATACAGTAACAAACCCCATAGCAAATAAAGAGAAATAGATATTTTGAACAATAACATAGCAATATGAAAACAGATAAGTAACCATGCAAGAGGTGGAACAAACAGGTTGTGTTTACAACAAACATTAAAGCCTGCCATAAATGAGTTCATCCTGTCAGACGAGATTTATTCTTGCTCTAAATTAAGAAATTACACATGATTGCAAGATACTGCCTATGGCTGCCCTATAAAAGACCAAATGGTTGTAAAGCTGATCCCCAGGAGAAGCCAGGACCATTGGCACACATACGAAACACACTGATATAAATAAAAAAGGTACTGTGTAAAATAACTGCTGAAGAAATTACCATTTCCTTCTGTGGCTGGGAATGTGCCTCGTGAACAATTATAGCACCTTTCAATCCCTTGGTTTCACAGGAAACCAAGAAATCACAGAGACTCTGAGTAGTTTAACCCCTACACCCCCAGTGGAATGTCATCTTGAGGCAGACAGAGGAGGAGGAGGATGGGTTTCCAATCATTGCATCAGGAGGGAAGTCCAGAAGCTGATTGTCTTTGGAAGCCTTTGTCACAGTGCTCAGGGTCCCATGTGACAACAGCTCATGGCAGACACAGGAGCAGAGCCCACACAGCACCTGCACGAGCTGCTCCAGGGCTGGCTCTGATTTTTAAGGCCTGTTCCTTTGAAAGCTGATGGCAAAATCACCGTGGAGTTTGGTGGGAGCAGGTGAGGGCTCTTCTCTCTAGTTAATTCCTATTTCCCTGGGTTGCTATCCATTCCTTACAGTAAGTGCAAATTAGACCCTCTGGAGAGGAGCATTCCCTGCCTCCCAGGAGTTCCAGGTTGCTGGTGAACGTGAGGGTGCATGACTTGCAAAGGGTTTTGGTTGTGCAATGTGCTGCTTCTGGTTAGCTCAGGGCAAGGAAAACACTACTACTACCAGAGCTGAGCCAAGTCAAAAACACACTGGAGCTCAAACAAACATCAAGAATTTAAAAAAAGTCTTAGGGAAAAAAAAAAAAAATAGAAAAAAGGAAAAGAACACACTATGGTATTGCACAGTATGTATGTAAGATAAAGCACTAAACATTTCAATTAAAATACATTTCTAAATGAGCACGCATTCAAAATAAATCCCCTAAGTTACATAGACATGGCAAGAAGCATTATATGCCCTGGCTGAAATGAACCTCAGGATCCTGCCCATGATGGAGAATGTGGTTGGAGTGGTTTGCTTGGTCATCAATATCATCACTGTCAGTGTGTGAGGCTGTGCTCACCTTTAAACTGAATTAAACTGGGGTGGCACAACAGTGTGGTGCAGCCCTCGAGTGAATGGAGAGGAATGAAACCCCAGCAGAGAGAGAAAGTCCATCTGGTATAATGCTGCTGTTCCCCATTTAAAGATACAGAACCTCATCAGAGAGATGGGGCTGAACAAAGCAAGGAGAAAAAATTACATAGCTCATACTATCAACAATTAAAGTGGTCTTAACCCAAACCTGAACAGCCTTTTGACAATTGGCTTGGTAGGATTAACTGCAAACAACTTCCATTAAATTTTCCTTTCAACTTGTCAATAATTTGTTTTAAATAATATAAAATTCAAAGTCCATAAATCCATGTCAGTATGAATGCCTCACCAATGTGAGTGACTAAAGCATTACTTTGAATTCAGAAGACAAACTTGGAGAAAGAAAGATTTCTCCTTCAGTTCAGTGTGAAGCCTCTGAAATGCCAGGGAAGTAAAAATGGCCTCATTGTATTCCCTCTTCCCCAAATTCAACCCTGCAGCTACAGCACCAGTGAAACTGAATTTTCCCATTTCCCTTTTTAAATATTGCTTTGGTTGGGTTTGGTT